GCTCTAGGGACGCGTGCGCGCGCGCCCAGCATTCCGCGCGAGCCAGAAGGCAGAGGGAACGCAAGCATACTGCACGCCGTGCCCAGAGAGCGAGCCCGAGCGAGCGAGCCAGCCACCAGGAGAGCGAGCGCCGGTGGAAGCCGCGTGGAGGGAGCCGCCTATTGATGCCAAAGATGAACACCCTGTTGTCGCGGGCAAACTCGCTGTTCGCCTTCACGCTGAGCGTCATGGCGGCAGTCACCTTGGGCTGCATCCTCACCACCGCCTTCAAAGACAGAAGCGCGCCAGTGCGCCTGCACGTCTCCAGGATCCTGCTCAAAAAAGTGGAGGACTTCACTGGACCCCGGACAAAAAGCGACCTGGGCTTCATCACGTTCCACATCTATGCCGACTTGGAGAAGACTTTCGACTGGAACGTCAAGCAGCTCTTCCTTTACCTCTCTGCAGAATACACCACCAAAAGCAACGCCGTGAACCAGGTGGTCCTCTGGGACAAGATCCTTCTGCGAGGCGAGAACCCCAAGCTGGATCTGAAAGATGTCAAAAGCAAGTATTTTTTCTTTGACGACGGACACGGTCTCAAGGGAAACCGGAATGTCACTTTGACTCTGTCCTGGCAAGTTGTACCGATTGCTGGCATTCTGCCTCTTGTGACTGGATCCGGACGCGTGTCTGTCCCGTTTCCAGATTCATATGAAGTAGCCAAGGCTTTCTGAAGAACTCTCTCTCTCTCTCCCTGCGTCTGAATTAGGGACATCTGTGTACTTAAGGAATCATATTTCTTTCATCTATTCCCTTATGTCTTGCTGACTTCTTTTGTGTTTTGTTTCTGTATTTTAAGACGTGTCTGGGACTGGCTGAACTCCACATGCTCATGCTTCCATTTACCTAACATAGAGACTGCATTCGTGGATCTTCTTATTGTGACAGTGGTTGTTATGCTTCCTTTTCTGTAAGAATTGACATCAAATTGCATAATTGGAGGGAAGGACTGCCAGATTACTCCAGTTAAAAGAAGTTCACCAGAGTAGAATATTATCGGACAATTGCACAATAAGGATTTTTATCATATTTACTATGTTATTGTGTGTAATATAAAATGTGTTTGGAGAGAATTTAAAAATTCGGTGTGTGGGTGCTGTCATAATAACTCCTTTTATTCCTGACATTCCTTGTAGGTTCACACTGAATGCTGTTTGCTTCTATCTTCTAGGATGTGTTTGATTAGTAGGAAAATTATGATCTGCTTCTTAGAAGTCTGACATAGAAAATACGTAAATACGAATGAGAACAAGATTTTTCTCCCATTTCAGAAATCTTAATGCTTGTCTTTCTTGCCAGCAAATAAGTTCATTTGAATAGTGAATGCCTCTTTACGCTATAAATAATAACTCACTTCATATCCCTTAAGTAAACGGAGTGTGTCTTACAGTGCTTTCTGTATAAAGATTGCTGTGCATTGTATTTTTGCAAATGTTTCAGCACTGTTATTGAAATTTGACAATTTTTGCATGCTTAACATGTGATGAGTATGTTCTAGTATGTTTAATACCATTAAATAAATGCTAACTGCTTAAAACAGTTTTAGGTTCATTATCTGAACATTTTGGGGATATTGCTAATAACACTTATGGTATGATTTTTCACCTAAAACAAATATATATTCTATAATCTAAAAAGTAAGCAGTACAAGCTTTAGCTCTCTTCAAATGAAGAAACTGAAATTCAGAAATTTGTTACATTACTTCAAGCAAACAATAGAGTTTAAACTTGAAATCAAATCTGATTATTTTTGTTAAATATTTTTATTTTATGATATTATAATTACATTATTTTCCTCTTCCATTTTCTCCCTCCAAACACTGTTGTGTAACCCCCTTTGCTCTCTTTCAAATTCATGGCATATGCATATATCCCTAAATACAACATGCTTAGTCTGTATAATGGTACTTATACATATATGTCTTAAGGGATGACTGTTTGGTATATAATAATCCCTTGGTGTGCTCTTCCCCAGGAAAGATTATTTTTCTCCCTCTCAGTGTTTTTTATTTAGCTGTAGTTCTTTGTCTGGGGTTGAGGCCTTATGCCCTCCCACCACCACCATCCACACACAGATATATCAGTTGGGACTGGGCTCCCAACTCTGCCTTTTCATCAGCTGCTATTCAGCTTTAAAGAAAAAGGAAATAATGAATTTGCAGGTAAATGGATGGAACTAGAAAAGGTCATATTAAATAGTGAGGTAACTGAGACCCAAAAAGATAAATGTCTCATGTTTCTCTCATCTGAGGTTCCTAGCTCCAAATCTTCAGATGTGAGTATATAATGTGGAGTGACTGCAGAAACCAGGAAAGTAAAAATGGGACAATTGCTGGAGTGGGGGCTGGGGGAGCAAGAGATGGGGGAATTAACAGAATGCAATGTGTGTGTGTGTGTGTGTGTGTGTGTGTGTGGGGGGGGGGGGGGGGGGGGGGGGTGGGTAAGATAAATAGAAATTGGGAGAAGGGTAAAATAATAGGATGCTTGAAAAAGTCATAAGGAATCATATTGTGGACTGTCTACCAAAAAATAAACACAGTACAAATAATTCTGTGTGGAAATATACACATATAGTTTAAATAAAAATTTCTCATCTGGGCTGGCAATGCTTCCCCCACAAGAACCACAGACTACCTAACAAAGACCCCAAAACCAGGCATGAGAGTCCCTCTTATGAGTTATTGATCAGGATTGTCCAGAAGTCTCCCCCAAACATTGTAGGCTATTGCTGTTGCCCTTGGTTGCCTCCAAAACATGGATGATATCTCTCTATTGCTGAAATCACCATGCACTTCAGGCTTAGTGCCCAGCAGGTCCAATCTGGTTCTAACCCAAAAGCCTCCTCCCTGAGGACTAGCTTTCATTGTACCAAAAGGCACCGTGAAAGCTTCATAAGGAAGAAAGTGGCCGGCAGTCCTACCCAGCTCCAGCCAAGATGAAGCAGAGCCATCTTTATGGGCCCCTACAACCTATGGACCACAATGACCAGCATGGCACAGTAACCCCAAGGGTCCGGTAGTGCCACACATACCTTGACAGTACTCACCACTTTGCTAAGTATACTTAACACACACTCAACAAGAGGGAAATCATGTGTGGCACTGAAACCTAGCCATCTGCCTAGTGCTAGTAAACACGTAAATCCTGGACGAGAACCTACAATCAATCATCACTTTACTAAACCAGCATTCTAAATATTTGTCCTTATACCCACACTTAAGTGTAATCACCTCTTTTCTTAGTTAAGGTTTCTATTGATGTGATAAAATGTCATGACCAAATTCATCTTCTGTTTCTTTAGACAGCACAGCAGTCAAATTTCACTTTTTATTTTTCTCCTTTACTCCAGAAATCCTTTTTTATCATTCCTGGACAGAGATTCCCTACCTTGTGTAAAAGGACTAATTTTGATTGTGCTAACAAAGTACATATCATTCTCTGCATAAAATCCCCATTTACTTGATTTATTGTATAAAGGAACTGGAATGTTTGTGAAATAGCTTATTGAATAAATATACCTAATACTACATAATGAAATTTAAAATGGCCTTTCCCAAGGTGGGGAAATAAACACTGTTAAAGCAGTGACTGCAATTTAATTGCTCTTAAGACCAAACAATCCAGTTATACTACCTCTGATAACAGAAGGAACTATTTTTTTCCTAAGAACAGTTTAAAGCTAATGTGTAACATTTTTTGTGGTCACGTCATGTAATTATAACACTCCATTCATTTGAACAGCTGGGCATATGGCTATGCTGTTCGTGGGTAAGCATTTGAGGAGTATTTCCACCTGGCAGAAACCTCAAAGGTGCAATGTCAGGCATTCCAGTGTTAGCTCCAAATTTCCACTTAGTTTGTGTGGGATCTCCATTTCTTTGTCTGGGAAATGGCAAAAGTTGAAATAACTACTTACATGGTGATCATTTTCCCATCACACATGTATATAATACATTATTTTAATCTTTTCAGCGTATCAGAACAGAAATATACAGTAGTTATATGAAGGCAGGAAGATAAGTAAAATGGTCAAGCACATACTTCATATTAATCAGAGTTTGTTCTATAGTCAGAAACTTTAACTTGGTGTAATTGCTACAGGTCCTGACAATGAAAATTGCAGATGTCAAACATGTCAGTAAGGAAGGCACTGACAACAAAGCCTTAACTAGGCCTAAGCACGAGTGTCCCAGCTCCCTAGTGGTGAGTGGATCTGATAGCTTGATAGAGATGAATGCTGTTTTTTTTTTTTTTTTTTTTTTTGAGATGCAATTGGTTTCTCTGACAAGCATACACTTTGGGAATTTGGTATAGAATTGAAGTATAAAGATCTAAGAAATATAATGTGGATAGAGGTTGTCATTTTTATTAGCAAAGGGAAACTACTAATAAAAATTAACCTCCACCTCAGGAATTTGATTTTTGTGGTACACAGCTTTGTTTATTTATTATAATAAAACATGCAACAAGTTAACTTGAGGG